CTGCAATTTAAACCACATATCAAAATTTTATTTCACCTGCTTATATAAGCATGTCATGTGAGAGTGTTTTTGGTTTTAAAAGTGATGACCTTGATTGACAAGGCACAGTGGAAAAGTTGACATATTATGTTTATCCATTTTTTTGCTGTTTTGCAGTGATGTGGTATACACCACTTGGCAGGATTCTCCTAGGACAGTGCTGGACGTCTACAAGGAGCTGATACATTCAGGACTTCGTATATGGATGTTCAGGTCCCTCTCAACACCTTGCAGATATAGATTTGATGATTACTTGTTTAAACTTTTTGATTAGTCACATCACAGTTTTATATTCTAATTAAATGATTACATATATGAATTTCATCTGGTAGACCAAAATATTCACTCAATACTTTTCTTTACCATTGTCTTTATATGAGTAGTTTGCATCATTTACAGGAGCCATTTTCATATAACTAACATGTTGGTAATCATCCTATTTTTGCGTATATGGCAGTGGTGATACAGATTCTGTGATCCCAGTTACATCTACCCGATACAGTATAGACGCTCTTAAGCTTCCAACTGTCAAGCCCTGGCGTCCCTGGTATGAGGATGGGCAGGTAAAGCAGCTTCTGGGAACTATTTTCTTCCTATATCTCTACTCATAAACAGAATACTGAAATGGGATACCCAAGTCTTGTCAATTATACAAGTATTTCTTTGAAATTTTCCCAACTTATGGAAGTAGGCATTAATACAATTAGGCCTCGTTAACAGGTTGGAGGATGGACACAAGAATATGCTGGGCTGACATTTGTGTCAGTGAGGGGAGCAGGCCATGAAGTCCCTTTGCACAAACCCAAGCAAGCGCTCACACTTATCAAAGCTTTCTTGTCAGGATCTTCAATGCCGTCTTCAGAACTTGTCAGTGACTCTTGAAGGTTTCTTTTCGCAATTGGCCCTTGAATTGGCAGGAAAAATTCATTCAGTGTTATGCTTGGTTACTTACTATGCATTACTGCGGAAGTGGTCACATTTAACACCCAAGGATCCAGTACACTTTTGTTTCTCTGGGAAACAATAAAGAGAAACTTTAGGGTTTTACGTTGTTAAGAAGAAGAAACCAAAATAAAGGAACTTGAGAGTGGCTGCCATTCAATAATCATGTACTGCTATGCAAGATTTTACCCTTGTCTTTAAGACGACATGTCACTACGACATTTCCACAAATCTTTATTTTTCTTGAACATGAGTTTATGAAGTGAATAAGTTCATCAAGAACCAAGAAAAATACTAATTCTTAGCTTGTCCTAATGGACCTTGAATTGAAGAACAACATGAGTGAGTGATATTGGGGGCGGGAGATTTGAATACTGAAGGGGGGTGAATGCTCTTACCAAGAGGAAATAAAAAGAGTGAAAAAACAGGAAATTAGCTGCAGATGCATACCAAAAAACAATCGCGGAGGTTAATGGGGCCTACGAATTAGAAAAGCCCATAATTTAATCATAGGCCCAATTCAGGTCTACAAGTTTGGGCCGAAATGAGAATGAGCATTCATTGGTTTGTCATCATCAGCCCTACCCAAGGCTTTCCAATGCTTCCCTTCTTGTCGGCTCTCTCTCTCTCTCTCTCTCTCTCTGTATTTCACCACAACTATCTCCTCCTATGTAAAACGGTACCTCCTCCAGTCCTCCTCTTTTCAATACCAATGGTGCTGGGAGCTTACTCATCCTAACCAAGCTAGGTATGCATCTCTCTTTCTCTCTCTCTAAATTGTCGATTTGTGCAAGTCGTGCATGACCCAGGTTCTGATCAAGCTGGATTGGTACGCATATGTTCATGGGTCCGATCAACATGGTCATTAAGTCTAACCAATCTTCTTCTTCTTTGTTAAATTGAATGCCTTCATCTTATTTAAACAAACTGCATGCTCAATTAACTCTACTTACTAAACTTTTAGTAATGCTCATTACCTGTTCGATAATTCTCGTACGGAATGTTTCATATTGGAATCAAAGTGCCTAAATATTATAAAAAGTTTCTATCTTGATTTTCTTTTTGGGGTGGGGTGTTCTTAGTGCATTTACAAATTACGTCTTCAGGGAGTGAAACGGAAAAAGTGAATCGTTAAATGCACTAAGAACACCCCATCGTTTAGATGATGAAAATTTTCGCCAAGTAAAGCTCAAAAAGTTGGATGGTTTGTGTTAAAGATTACTGTGTCGTCATTCTGAGGTATGGTAGGCCAGCGGGGTTATGTTATCAGTAAATAAGTAGGGATCGTTAATTTCTTTCTCTTTTTAGGTTACAAGCTTTGTTATAGATTCTGGTAGGCATATGGAGATTGGTGTTTGTTTGTATCACAGTTTGATGTTATATTTTATTATTACAGTTCCATATTTAAGTCTATTCATCTTAAGGATGTAGAATCCAATTCCTCTATGAGTGGTGCAAAGTGATTGCGCTTCATGCTACTGTAACCTGGGCTGCCTAATTGACTTAAATCTTTCATTGCCCAGATATGTTACCTTTGATGATTGAACATTGAGGGCGCTATTTTTTTTGGGAAAAGGGCACCAAATAGAGGTCAGTGTAAACTTTTCCAAGAATTTGTTCCAGTGTATATATAACTCCATCTTATTGCAGTTAAAACTTAAAACACAGAATGGGACTTAAGATACCATTGATGTTGCAGGAACAAAAGGGGAAAAAGGCTGAGGGCAACAAAAATGGTGGTTACCAGTTCTAATCCCCACAACAAGGAGATTGTTGTCAGGAAGAGGATTGCGAGCATGTATATATATATATATCTCTCTCTCTCTCTCTATATATATATATATAGGGAGATTCTCCAATAAGTATTTTACGTTAAAGATTGGTTACATACTTCTAATCTTCGCCGTTGGATTGCATTCATTAAATGTGTTGGTAGCTTCTTAGATGCAATTCAACAGCCGAGATTAGAAGTGTGTAACCAATCCTTAACTTAAATACTTATGGGAGAAAAATTTGTAGTGTGGTGGTTGTTTACTTTGTAGTTTGTATGAATGAGTAAAAACAATGGGTCTGCTTTTAAAAGGCATTCAAGCTTAAGGATTAAGAAAGTTTAGAATCTTTTGGTGTATTAAGTATTGGAAGTGATTGTTAGTGCTCATTTATTGAACTGTAATTTTTAAGCACTGTTTTTCTTTTTGGCATAAAATGGTATATTCAGTAGCCATAATAATGTACTGTTAGTTATACTATTTGCTTCTCTCTTAGCCAATATATTATGCATCTCTGATGGAGATGGTTCACTGTCTAGATTCAATAAACGGGAAGAGGATTTTCCGTCCTTGAAAGAATACAATGATTACTTGGAGGAAGTGGAGGACATGAGTAAGTTTTTCAGCTTAGTTATTTCTTATATTTTTAATGAAAAGAGTTAGGCTGACAAAAAAAAATCATTCTCTGGTAGCATTTAACTTGATCGATGGAATAGATGTCCCTGCTATTGAAGCAAAAATTGCAAAGTATCAGGAAGAAAATGCTGAACAAATAATGATTAATAGAGCCCGTAAGGTACTTCAAAATAAAATCACAGTGTTTTATCCTTTCCTTTCTTTTTTTGGTTCCTAACCTGCTGGCTTTGCTTTATGAGATTTAAGTCGTAATGCTGCCTCCACATTACTTGAAAAAAAAAGAAGAAGCTCCCAATGCTGGCAATAGTGAACTATTTAATATTTTTCTGCAAAATCTGTGCCAAGTTTCTGATGCTGGTGTTATTAATTGAATAGGCTGAAGAGCTTGCTGCAGCTCTAGCAGCAAGCAAGGGACATCCTGCACAGAATGATACTGATGTGGTAAGAGTGGAGTTATTTCATGTATCATCATTTCCTTATGAGTTTGTAATTGTGCTGCAAGCACCAACACTTAAGTCTGGTACACAACACTTGAATCTGGTACACGACCACTCCAAGCACCAACACTAACACTTCAAGCACACACAGTGCGGTGAAGCACCGAAGAAAAACCACACTTATGCTATTGATTGTTCAGTTGTATAATTTCCAAATGTAATGATTGTACTGATAAGCTATTTTCAATAGACATTTCATCTTTTTTATGAGTTTATTTTTCTAAATTGTGCCAGTTTTCCAGCCCAAAGGGAAGTACATAATTTTTTAAACTGATTTTATGTGTTTATTGACAGGCTCTGAGCCAAGGCTCTCAAGCAGGATTTGGTACTGGTACACAGGGGCAGTATGCCCCTACAGTTGCAGGACAACCACGACCAACTGGCATGGGTCCACAACCACTACCACTTGGAGGGGGGCATGATATGCATGGATATGCTGTTGACGATGAAGAAATGATAAAGCTCCGAGCAGAGAGAGGTGGTAGGGCAGGAGGGTGGAGTGTAGAGATAAGCAGGAAGAGGGCACTCGAAGAAGCCTTCAATAGCATTTGGGTTTCGTAGGATCGTAGTGTTATTAAACTCTGTAATGTAATATATGGCCTTTCATGTAAGAGCAGCAACCTGTGTTCTTTCTTATATCTAAAAGAAGTTTCAGATTGTTGGCTGTGGGGTGAGGGATAACAAATGAGGATAAAGATATTATGTATCAGTACAAAAACCAGATTTTTGGCTGAGTTCTATAAGTAATTATATTTTTGGATGTTCATGTATTTTTGAGGTTCTACAACAAATTAATGAAGCAGATACTTTCTCATCTAAAAGTACTTCTGTATTTTCTCATCTCATGCTTGTATATTTTAGCTTTTTAAAGTTTATCCACCTAAAATTTTCTCCATGGCATAATCACCCCAAAAGGGCTTTGAGGAGAAAAAAAAAAAATTTCAACGGGAAAACAAAAAACAGGCCAATGCAATTGCTAGCTAACAAAGAATAACGGGTGTAGGACCGTTAAGAATCACCGACCAATAAAATCCTGAAATCGCTAACTTTCCTTTCCTCCACTGCTTCAAACTCCATTATCTCCAACTCTACTGCATCACCTTCACTCACTCCGTCATTTGGGCATTTGGGTATTCGGGTTTCTCATTTCTTTCTCCCACCGCACTTCTTAAACTGAAATTACACTTCTTCTGCACCGACTATTCATTCGGGTGAGTAATTGATGCATTGAACTTGCTTTTGTATCATGACCTCACTGAGGTTTTCTGTTTCTCTGGAGACATTTGATTCTTCAAAGAAGTTCAATTTCTCTGCAGTCAATTCTCTTTGCTACAGTCATGTTAGTAGAGCTTCGGTAGTCAATTCTTCGAATAGAGTCTCTGGGTTCAAATTTGAATTGTCGAGCATTTCGGAACTAAATCAAATGAGTGAAGAAACCACTCTGTCTCTGTCCTCGAATAAAAATAGAGTAGATGAGAGTTTGGCTGAACAAAACCTGGATTTCAGACAAGCAAGTGTGAAGGGGTCTCGCGGCCCAAAGAATGAGGTCAAAAGAGAAAAGGATTTGAAGTCTAGTTCAAGAAAGAGTAGGTGGGTACGGGAATTGGAGAATTTGTTTGTGAATGATGGGGAACTTGATGTTGATTACTCTGTTATTGGGTCTGACTTGAGCTTGGAGCATTGCAATGATATTTTGAAACGGCTCGAGAAGTGTAGTGATGTCAAAACTCTCAGATTCTTTGAGTGGATGAGAAGCAATGGGAAATTAGAACGCAATGTGAGTGCTTTCAATTTAGTTTTGCGGGTAATGGGTAGGAGAGAAGATTGGGATGGAGCTGAAAAATTGGTTCAGGAAGTGATTGCTGATTTGGGATGTGAACTGAATTATCAGGTTTTCAACACCCTTATTTATGCATGTTGTAAACTGGGGCGACTTGAGTTGGGAGGAAAGTGGTTTCGAATGATGCTGGAACATGGGGTCCAGCCGAACATTGCAACATTTGGTATGCTAATGGTACTTTACCAGAAGGGATGGAGTGTTGAGGAGGCAGAGTTTACTTTTTTTCAAATGAGGAACTTTGGAATTTTATGTCAATCTGCGTACTCGTCAATGATCACAATTTACACCCGCTTGAATTTATTTGAAAAAGCAGAAGAGATCATTGGCTTATTGAAAGAAGATAGAGTGAGACTGAATCTGGATAATTGGTTGGTAATGATTAATGCTTATTGTCAGCAGGGTAAAGTAGATGATGCTGAACTAGTATTGGTCTCCATGCAAGAAGCAGGTTTTTCTCCAAACATTATTGCATACAATACATTGATAACTGGATATGGGAAGGCATCTAAAATGGATGCTGCTGATCACCTATTTCAGGGCATAAAGAATGCCGGATTAGAGCCCGATGAAACAACTTACCGTTCCATGATTGAAGGTTGGGGTCGAGCTGACAATTATAAGGAAGCAGAATGGTATTATAAAGAGCTCAAGCGGTTAGGGTACAAGCCTAATTCGTCTAACCTGTACACACTAATAAACTTGCAAGCCAAACATGAGGATGAAGAGGGGGCCATAAGGACGCTTGATGATATGCTGACAATGGGGTGCCAATATTCCTCAATTCTTGGTACTCTTCTGCAAGCATATGAGAAGGCTGGAAGGGTTGATAAAGTGCCTCGCCTTTTGAGAGGTTCTTTTTATCAACACATTCTTGTCAGCCAGACTTCTTGTTCCATTCTTGTCATGGCTTATGTGAAACACTGCTTAGTGGATGATACTATGAAAGTGGTGAGGGAGAAACTGTGGAAGGATCCACCTTTCGAAGATAACTTGTATCATTTGTTAATTTGCTCGTGTAAAGAGTTGGGTCATCTAGAGAATGCTGTTAAAATATACAAGCAAATGCCCAGATATGATGACAAGCCAAACATGCACATCATGTGCACAATGATTGACATCTATATCATCATGGGTCTATTCACTGAAGCAGAGAAAATTTATGTCGAGTTGAAATCTTCTGGAGTCACCTTGGACATGATTGCCTATAGCATTGCTGTAAGAATGTATGTAAAAGCTGGTGCTTTGAAAGATGCTTGCTCTGTTCTAGACACAATGGACAAACAGGAGGGCATTGTTCCAGACATTTATATGTTCCGAGATATGCTTCGTATTTATCAGCGATGTGGAAGGCTTGATAAGTTGAAAGATCTCTACTACAAACTCTTGAAGAGTGGAGTGACCTGGGATCAGGAAATGTACAATTGTGTCATAAACTGCTGTTCTCGTGCTTTGCCAGTTGATGAGATCTCGGAGATTTTTGATGAGATGCTTCAACGTGGGTTTGTTCCTAATACCATCACCTTCAATGTCATGCTCGATGTATATGGGAAAGCAAAGCTTCTGAAGAAGGCTAGGAAGTTGTTCTGGATGGCCCAAAAGTGGGGTTTGGTTGATATGATCTCTTACAATACTATTATAGCTGCTTATGGGCGAAATAAAGACTTAAGAAACATGTCTTCGACATTTGGAGAGATGCAGTTTAAAGGATTTTCAGTTTCCCTTGAAGCATACAATACTATGTTGGATGCTTATGGGAAAGAGAGCCAAATGGAGATATTTAGAAGCGTTTTGCAGAGAATGAAGGAAACAAGCTGTGCTTCGGATCACTACACATACAACATTATGATCAATATCTATGGAGAGCAAGGATGGATTGATGAAGTTGCTGACGTGCTGACTGAGTTGAAAGAATGTGGACTCGGACCTGATCTGTGCAGCTATAACACGTTGATTAAGGCATATGGAATTGCAGGAATGGTCGAAGATGCTGTTCATTTGGTCAAGGAAATGAGAGAAAATGGTATACAGCCTGATAAGATAACCTACATCAATCTCATTAATGCACTGCGAAAAAATGATGAATATTTGGAGGCTGTAAAGTGGTCCCTATGGATGAAGCAGATGGGGTTGTAAAGTTTACATTGCTCATTGCTCATGTATATAATTTACGGCAATTTTCCTTTTATGCCTCTCAATAATACTGATAAGACATGGCTTTGTGGTCTTATAAATAAATAAAATCCGTTTTGATTTACTTATTTATTCGCTAGTTGAGCTAGCCATCGTGCCTTCTCTTACAATATATGTCATTCTTGAATTAAGTTACGCAGTCCGAAACCACTGTCCTTTGGTTATGCATTTTTCTGGCCTGAGCTGTCTTCCAAACTTGCCCTTGCAAAACAAGCTTGGTAGGAAAGGGTGCCCATGCTCATATACTAGCCCAAGATGTTCTGAATGAATGAGTAGATTTAAAGTGATTCACAATATTTGGATAATTGTACATTTGGATAATCATGCTTGGTAACTTTCAAGCAAATGGGAAGAGGCAGAGTTATCAGGAAATCAATGGAAATAAACAAACAGTTTAATTCAGGTCTACATATAAAATGTGTGTAAAGCAACGGTCTAAATGCAAGTTTTCAAAAGAGGCGCCACGTATAGCCGGGCGGCTATACCATTTATTTTAAACAAATAGGAGCCACGTATGGCCGCGCGGCTAGACCCTTTCTTTTTAAAAAGGCAATAGGTATCGCCGGGCGGCTATAGTATTTATTTAAAAAAGGTAAAACATAAAGCCGAGTGGCTAAACTTTTTTCAAATACAAAAACGAGGGGGCAATGTATATCCGCCGGGGCAAACTATTTATTAAAAAAGAAAACGGACCCAAGTATAGCCGCACGGCTAGAATATTTATTTGTTAAAAAAGGACCCATGCATACAGCCGTTCGGCTTGACCCTTTTTTAAAACAGAACTCACGTATAGCCGATCGGCTATACTTTCTTAAAAGGTGCCATCGATTTATTTATTTATTTTTTAAAAAGAAAACAAGTCTAGCCGATCGGCTATGCGATTTATTTTTTAAAAATAGGAGCCATGTCTAGCCGAGCGGCTATACCGTGCTCTTTCTTTTTAAATAAATATTACCGCCTGGCGGCTATACTTGGCTCCTTTTTAAAAGAGGACCGTGTACAGCCGATCGGCTATACCTTTTTTTTTCAAAAAGGAAACAGATATAGCCGCGTTTGCTATATTATTATTATTTTTTTAAAAGGAGCAAGTATAGCCTACGATTTATTTTTTTTCCTGTATGGCCGTGCGGCTATACTATTTAATTTTTTTAAAAAAAGAGCCAAGTATAGCAGTCCCGCAATACTATTTATTAAAAAGAAAACAGAGGTAAGTATAACCGCCCGGCTATACTATTTTTCTAAAGGCCCGAGTATAGCCGCGCGGCTATACGATGATGTATTTTTCTGGCCTGAGAAGGCTTCGAAGCTTGCCCTTGCAAAACAAGCTTGGAAGGAAAAGTTGCCCATGCTGCCCATGCGCATATACTAGCCCAAGATCTTCCGAATGAATGAGTAGATTTAAAGTGATTCACAACATTTTGATAGAACCATCAATGAAGTTCCTTCATTTCTTTACAGTTCTTGCCCAAAAATTTGCAAGAACTTTTCACTCACAATTTTACATGTATTTAGAGAGTGACCTTTTCCCCCTTCTATAGATACAACATATGTAATGCATCGGAATACATAGAAAGGAAACAATACATGATTTTTGCACCATTAAGATGAACTCCACAAAATTAGCTCCAACAGCCAGGACGCACTTGCCGCTTTGTGTCTGCCTCTCTTGCCTCCGAAAAAATTGTTCCACATTAAAGAACTTCTAAACAGCTTTGAATTTCAGTAGAAGCGTCTCCTTTACTGTACATGGGTCGCTTCTAAAATAGAGCCAGATCATTAACACTTACGATGATCACCACCCCATCAGAATCACAGACTTGCTGATCATGGGAATCAGAATTAGTCCTTTCACTTTTCAAAAAAGAAACCTTAGCTTCTGTTTCCCAGTTCAACTTGCTGCCCCTATCCAAATTAACTTTTAACAAAGTTTCTTGGTCAATTTTGGGGTATCCAAATGTACTCTTAACAAAGCTTCTTGGTCAATTTTGGGGTGCTTATGATACAGGTGACAATGCTTTCCACATATTGTTATCATCGCTGCTCATGACTGGAAATTCAGTTGAAAAAGTACGGAGATTCTAGAACCTGTAGCAAGTCAAAGTCGCCTCTTTCTGGGAGTGGAGGAAAAGTCAATGCTGGATATGATGCTTGGAAACTTTCAAGCAACTGGGAAGAGGCAGAGTTATCAGGAAATCAATGGAAATAAACAAACAGTTTAATTCAGGTCTACATATAAAATGTGTGTAAAGCAACTTTCTAAATGCAAGTTCGGGGAGTTTCACTAAAACACCCAAAATGGAGGTTGAAATTATAAAAAAACCCAACACCCAAAACACTTTATAAACACACCCAAAACCCATCATTACACACACTCAAAACCCATTTATAAACACACCCAAAAAGTTGACTTTGGGGTTGATTTTGGGTGTGTTTCTATGTTTAAATAGTGCTTGGGTTTTTTTATAAATACATGTCTAGAATTGGGTTTATTTATAAATTTGTATTCATGTATTCATTATATCATAAAGTAAAAATTAGGGAGTTTCGACCAAAAAAAAAAGAGAGTAAAAATTAGGGAGAAGCTGAAAAGTCTTTCAATGCACAAGTTTTCTACAATGAAGACGCATTCGTAACTTCTTAAACTTCATCTTGAAACCTTGTGAGGAGACATCAAAATGAACTTAAGTAGCCTTGAGAAATCATTGTGTCAAATACAAGTCATTCCACTCAAGTTTCTTTTAAACAAGCCAGAGAAAGATCTGAATTTATGAGACCTAATTTCATGAAGAGAAACAGGGCGTAGTTCACTTACACTTTCAAGTATCGGCATGCTATAAAGCTCCACAAATTTTTCCCGAAGTATCTCGTTCATTTGGTCCACATCACATGGATGAGTCCAGAAGGAATCATGCACCCCTGCAAGCACATTTTAACACATATGTGAGACTTCAAACATACTTCAATATGTAAGTGAGAACTTAAACCAATATAAAAAAGAAACTTTATTTTGATGAATCTATGCCCTCTAATCCTCTACGTACAAAGAGCAGGATGTAAGTTCCAATACCTTCTGACAAAAGTTCAATGGTTTAGGAAAAATTGTCTTCTTCAATTTTATTTTATTTTGGGTCAGTGTCTTATCCTCATATTTGAAAACCATTACACTGAAACTTTGGTTTTGAGCATGTATTTTACATCAATGACTAACAGTATATTTCAAGCCCAGTCTAATGCAGAGTTACAGACTACACTACTGAGACAAACCTGCAAAACGTAGGCCAGCGTCCCTGCAGGCAAGAGCTGTCATCATCATGTGTGAACCGTCAAGTGAGTGTACAAAATTTGGTGGAAATGCAGTTCTCTGTTTTCTAATATCTACCTGGAGTTGGAGAATATATCAAATCTATAGCAATTCATAAAAGATAAGGCCAAAGAAGATTTGTAAGCTTACTGAGTTACTCTCCCGTTGCAAGGCTAAAACTTGAAGGGATGTTCTTATCTGCAACTCCAGGGGAAGAATAGTTAATAAAAAAGTACATGAACCCATTAGAGACAAGAAGACAAAGACCAGATGCAACCTATCCGGATATCGTGTACTAAACAATTTCATCTGTGAGGGAATTCAGCCAAATGCAGGTTTGCGTGTCAATGAAAATTAATCTTTAACTAAGTTGTCAAACTTACAAGATGCCTTTCACTTTTACAATAGGGTTGCACAACAGGAAGACCTAGAGGAGTAGTCCAACGCACAGGTTGATTTTCTGAAGCAATTACCTGCAAAAGTTTCATAACACAACTTAACTCTCAGATCTACCAGGCAGTCCAGCCTATCATTTAGTGTCTGAAACATGACCAAAAAATTACATACCTTAGCACAATCACCAAGCCAGCTCATTATGCCACGAGCAGCTTGGAATATCTCTCCAAGGGCAGCTAGAGTAACCTGTGGCAAAGATGAAATTTAGTAAAGATAATCTAGATTTAATAACAAATGTTGAAGGACGTTTTTTAATTTTAGCTCATAATCCAAATGATAAAACCAAGAAATTTCTGCAGTTAATTCTTGATTCACATATATAAGGATGAAATTTGGAGGTTGAAACACTTAGGAGGTTGTTCACTTACTTTAGCAGCATAGCAAGCTGCAGTGAACAGTAGTCTGTCATCGGTAATAAGACCCTTCTCTTCTAATCTTCTTTTTATTTGTTCACGTGCCCCAACATAAGTAACACCATATACTGAAGTCATTACAGTCTGCTTCACCAATTTCCTATCAATCTGAAAGATTCCAAAACCATACATTGTCAGATATACGTATGCAATATGGACTTGTTTATCTACAAATATTACCCATATTTAATTTTTGTTGTCTATGTGTATGTTTGTATGTGTGTGTGTCTGTATGTACATGCATGAATGCATACATACTTGTACATGAAGTTTAAGTATCCACAGTTGACAAGTAAAAGTCCATTTTATAGTATATTGCAACTCTGAACTCGTGAAGAATCCAGGAAAATCAACCTGATTGACTAAGATTCTGGCTAATAAAGCGTTTGGACTCGTAGTTGGGTCTTTATTGCTGTCTCTTTTCATAATCTCATGTACCCTGACAACATATACATAGAGAAGATAAGCCTGAGTAAGAGGAGCTTGTAGAAGAAAAGACTAATAAACAGATCAGGAACGAAGCAGTTACATGGATGTAGTGCACTATGTGCATCTCTAGCAAAGAAATTATAAAATCAATGTGCAGTTCATACATCGTGTGCAGAACTAGTGAGGCACATGCATGCAAGAGTTTAGTAACAGGTGATTCTTTCTCACCTTTTTTATACCTTGGCTTGTAAGAAATGGTCTTTTGTTAAAACTTTGTACTTCATGTAAAAGTACTGAAATGTTCTTATTTCAGTACTTTTACATGAAGTTGCTTTGGAAATTGGACCTATGGATTATAAATTGCCTTCCCAAGAACCATATTCAATGTTAATATTGAATGAACTGTATGTATTGAAAATTTG